TATATATATATATTATATGTGCGTGTGTGTGTAATAATAAATTTAAATAGCTACTTCTATACTCGGTTTTGTTCGTTTTTTTTTTATTAAAATCAAAACCAAACCAAATTTGATCGCTTTTTAAAATTCAAAACCAAAACCAAACCAAACCTAAAATATATCGTTTTTTTATCGGTTTGGTTCGATTTTTGGTTTGGTTCGATTTTTCGTATTTTATGAACACATAGTAACTACGAATTTAAACTTATCTTAAATGGTGTATATGGTTGGATTTAATGAGTTTTTTTATTGATTATTTGTCCGGTATCCAAAATTTATTAACCTAACTTATTTTGATCCACGTCGATTAAAGTCCCGTAAAGGGAAAAAAAAAAACGCTTTCTTCTCACCACACTCTAGGGTGATCTTAATGAGTTACTTAAAGTGTACACTTTCTGCAGTACTATCATATCTCTCCCTATTCAATTTAGATGACATATTTTATTTATTGAAAGTCAAATTATGTAAAGTTTGACCAATACTTTAAGATACATTTTATTATCATATTGACATGAGAAAAATTATAACTTATAGTACTTTTGTGTAATTTTTAAATTTCTGAATTTTAATTTTAAAATACTAAATTCACATAATTTAATATAGCTTCAAAATTTAATTAAATTAACTATCGATAAACGAAGTGCGTCATCTAAATTGAAACAAATGTAGTACCTCATTTCCTTTCATCAGTGAGTTACTAATTAACTTGGCAGATGAAATAGTGACTTTTCGTGGCACTAGGACAAATTTTTCTCAATATTATTTTAAGAAGTGTTTTTGAGAAAAAAAAGTTTATCTAATACCTAAAATATTTGGATACTCGAGGAGTAGTTTTTTTTAAGTTTCTTTAAGTGTGGCAAAAAAGTCTTACTTTCTATTCTGATTAAAGCATGAGTTTTATGGCCTAGTGTGCGTCAGAGGGGTACTATTTGCATAAATTTGTGCTATGTAAATATTTTAAATATCTTCAATGCTACTTGACAAAAAATAAAAAAAGTTTCACGTGAATAAATATTACTGTAGTATGATGCAGATATAATTAAATTGAAGGATTTACTATCCTATAGGGGAATAATGGCCATATGAATGAAAAATCACTAAATATGTATATATAATAAACTGTGAATTCAATAGTAAAATGAGTTGTAGATTCGGAGGCAAGCGAGAAATTAATATAATTCATAAACTTCAAATGCTAAATTTGTTTTTAATGAATAATAACCGATTTTTTTAGGTCAATTTAACGTAATAGCATAAATATTTTAATAAAATTTTATCAATACATTTAAACCCGGGTGGGGTTAGGGTAATTTAAAATTTCTCTATTTATACCCCTCAAAACTCCTTTCATTTCCACAACACTCAATTTCCCAAGTCTTATAAATCCTTCTTTTTTCTCTCCTTTCTCTTACAAAAAGTTTCTAAATTTTCTTTCCCTCAAACAATGGCTATTAGGAAATCAAACAAGTTGTCACAAACAGCAATGTTGAAGCAAATCATGAAAAGATGTTCAAGTTTGGGTAAGAAAAATGGATCCTATAATGACGAACAATTAGGGCTTCCATTAGACGTACCAAAAGGCCATTTTGTAGTTTACGTTGGAGAAAATAGAACAAGATATATTGTTCCAATTTCTATTTTATCAAGACCTGAATTTCGTAGCCTCCTTCAACGTGCAGAAGAAGAATTTGGTTTTGATCATGATATGGGTCTTACAATTCCTTGTGATGAAGATGTTTTCGAATCTCTAATTACTTCGTCAATACTAAGGTAAAAAGAATGAAAGTTAGAGCTAGTCGAGCCAGTAGGTTACGAATATAAATCTAGGCGGAGCTAGCTAGCTAGGTTGTCTGAAGTAAAAAAATTATATATAAAAGTTCAGGAATCTGCTTTATTGTTCTGTCTTTTTTTTAATTTTTTTTTTTTTGGTTTTTGGGATCATTATAACCTGGTGACGTGTACTAGGTTTCTGTGTTTGTAAATCTCAGAAGTCTGTAATTGTAATTTTCCTCGCAGTGGCGTTAGGTAATATTTGTACCCTGTGAGAGAGTTAACTAATTATATATAAATTGTAATATTTGGTGCTATTTTATTGTGTGTATTATCTGATTTATCTATCTTTGCAGCTGTTGTTTGGGTTTCAATGATCTCAACATGTCCTGGTTGTTTTTATTTATATTTTTTATTTTTTGTTCAAGTGCATTTTATGAATATTGAAGATAAATAAAAGAAGAAAAATATGCATGCCAACTCCTGTTGCTATCATATATTAATGTTTTCTTTGACTCTACATCCTAATACTTCTTTTGGAAAGACGCGAATAAAGCTGAATATATCAAGTATAGTAACTACGAATAAATATAGTTAGGTAGGACGTTAAGTAGTTTTAATTTCCATGAAAGTAGAATTAAGCTTATCTTAATGGTGGATGCGGTTGTACTTATTGAGTTTTTTTCGTTTGCCTCTTTTGGTATTCGAAACATATTAATCAGACTAATTTAGATATCTCTTTCGTCTCATCACACTCTTTAATTTTATGAGTGACTAATTAAGTGGGCACTTGAAAATTGAAATAATGATTTTTCTTGGCAATTGGACAATGATTTCGGAAAAATTAAATTTAGAAGTATTATTGAGAAAAAATTTGTCCAAAACCTAAAATGTTTGGATAGTTGAGCAGATTTTTATTTAAGTTTCTTTAGGTGTGGCAAAAATATTTTTTTCATTGACGAGTCAACGTTTCACTTGATCTAATGAAGATGTATATAGCATGCAAGTTAACAAATGAATGTAAAAGTGTCGAGACAAAAAAAAACTCTTTTTCTATTTTGATTAAAGCGTAAGTTTTGTGCCATAGTGAGTGTCAGAGGGTGTTATTTGCATAAATTGGTGCTAAGTAAATATTTTAAATATCTTCCAACTTCAATGCTACTTGACAAAAAAAAAGAAAAGGTTTCAAGTGAATTAATATTACTGTAGTATGATGCAGATATAAAATGAAGGATTTATCTATCCTATAGGGGAATGGCCATATGAATGAAAAATGTATGTTTAGATGGAAATAGCAAATGACTTTGAAATTCTACAGAGCCCACTTGGGGGAGAGACTTTTGCAGTTAAATTATGTTACGTGGATAAAACTTTACAGAGGGTTTAAATGGTGAAATGTGCGGCAAAGATTAAAAAAAAAAAAAATCGGTTTCGAGCTCTGAGTAAGTATTCTTTCAACTTTAAACAAAGATCTCGGGTTCGAGTCGAGGGTATAAGTCTCGCCTTTATTAAGAAGCTCTTTACTTTTTAATGTGAAACTTTCCGGCACGAATCTAGGTTTGAACCCTGGATATGATGTCGCCTTTATTAAAGATCCATTTACCCCTTAATGTGAGACTTTCCGGCGTAAATTTAAATTTAGTCAGATACCAATTCAAATAACAAACGGGACGACATCAAAAGAAAGATAAAGATAATATATGCATTTCTATGTAATGTATTTGCCCCATGTCACATTTTTAATCCTATAATATGGGTTGGATCATGGATGTGGTCCTGGGCCGAAATTTAGTGGGCCAAAGATATCCGTCTGATTGTTCAATCGCAGCCGTACGATGTTGTTGACTTAAGCTCTTCCTATATCATATTATTTTGACCTATTTGTTGTCTAGTATTTAAACTATTTTTAAAAATGATCTTATCTTCCTTTTTTTTTCATAATAAGAAAATTTAAGAACATGTATATCCATTCTTGCTTCAGTTAGACGAAATGCTTTTCTTTTCTTTAGTTTTTTTCTCGTGGGGTGGGGTTGGACTGTTGCCGTTAACAAAATTTGTCCCACATCCCTTTGTCTTCAGTTTGATTAGCAACCAAAGATTAATTAATATTTTCTACTTGCTTCTTGTTACATCTTGGCACAGAAAAGAAAGACCAAAATGAATGATAAGTTGATGACTTCATGTAACTGCTGTTCTAACTCCTTTTAACTTCCTATTTTGGCCAAGAAAAAACAACTGGGAAATTTTTATATAATATCCTCAAAGACAACAAGAATCAAGAATAAAAATTTTGATGTAAAAAAACATATCTTTGAAGATATAATATCTATTTAGTTCGAGTTCCTAAGCCAAGTTGAAGGTTATGGCAGTTTACATATGGTTTGAGTTGTATATATTCTGAGAATGTGCAGATATATCTTTATGAAAAAAGAAAGTATACCTGAAGAAATGGATCAAATTATAAACAAAGAAACATGTCTTGTAAATATTAATTAGACTAATAGGTACACAAAAGTCAAAAGCATGCCGATGCTGGTTTTCTTTACCTTGAATTCCAGGCGCCAGTTTGAAAATACTTTGTTTATTTTATTGGATACTTATTATTTAGCTCAGACTAATATTAATATCGGGCGACTCTATTATAACAAAATGAAAAGAAATTACGTTGGTTTTTTTTACATTGTTGAAAACCTGATTTTTTGTTGTTTTTACCTACTTCATTGACTATTAAACTACTTAAGATTGATATTTTTTTTTTAAATAAATATATATCTTGGGATATGAGGGACCAAATTGTACACAATAGAAGTAGAGGGGAGTTGTTTAGAGTTGGTTAATATTAGTTAGTTAAAGTTGATGTTATGACAACTGTAAATTGGCTGTTAATTAGTTAGTGGAGTTAGGGGTATTAGCACTATATAGTGCAGCTACCTTGTATTGATCGAAGACACAGAGAAGAATACAATTCTCATTTCTCTTCTTCCTCATTTCATTTCTTTTGTTTCTCTAGAGCTTGAATCCAACATGGTATCAGAGGGGCACTGTAAATCGATCAATCTCCGGCGAGATCCAAGCTTTCTAAGCTCTTTTTCTTAACCAGCTATGGCATAGTGAAGTCAATTCCCTAGATCATAATCATCCATTGTTTCTGCAAGCTTCAGATGCACCAGAGTTAGTTTTAATTCCACTCAAGCTCACAGGCCCAAAAAACTATACACTGTAGAGTAGAGCGATGAAATTGGCACTCCGGGGAAAGAGCAAGCTGGGATTTGTGGATGGATCGTGTGTGAAAAGCATGTATAAAGGTGAGTTAGCAGAATAGTGGGAGAAATGTAATGCAATTGTTCTTTCATGGATTGGTAGTACTGTCTCTAATTAATTGATGCCTAGCATTGTATATGCATCGAATGCTAGAAAAGTTTGGGCTGATTTTCAGGAGAGATTTGATAGATCAAATCTAACTAGGATCTATCATCTATGGACTGCTATTGCAACTCTGAGACAGGGGACTGATTCAGTTACTAGCTATTGTCTAAAATGAAAGATTTGTGGGATGAGTTGGATGTAATTGCACCTTTAGCATCATGTGATTGTGAAGAATCTAGGCCATCTGTAGAGTTATTGAAAAATATACGATTACTGCAATTTCTCATGGGGTTGAATGAAAGCTATGGGAATATTAGGAGCAACATTTTAGCTAAGAGGCATGTAATCACTGTGAATGAGGCTTATGCAATAGTTACAGAAGAGAAAAGCCAAAGAACCATGGGGTAACATACACGTTGAAAGAGCCTCTTACAATGATGGCAGGAAAGAGTCATGAGTTCAGACAAAAAAGGCCAGGATTAGTCTGTGATTACTGTGGTTATAAAGGAGACCTCAAGCAAAGTTGTTACAAGATAGCAAGGTACCCACCAAATTTCAAAAGCAAGAAGAAAGACCAAAACACAGGAGGAAGGACCTATGTGAACAATGCAACCACCAGTGAGATGAAGCAGGAGGTTATGATGCCAACTCAAGGAAATTTCTTTGCTGAGGAACATTATAAACAATTGGTGAATTTGTTGCAGAAAACAAACACAAGTGACTGTTCTACAAATACTGCATGTATTATCGTTTTAATGGTAAATGTAGTTGCTAATGATCATGTTTGGATAGTTGACTCAGGAGCAACACATCATGTGACACATTGCAAGAATGCTCTAAGTAATCTTAAAAGAGCAGACAATAGAACAGATGTAGTTCAATTACCAACTGGCAATAAAGCAGACATAACACATACAGAAGATGCAGTAGTGTTAGGAGACAAAAGTATTGAAGGAGTTCTATATGTGCCAGATTTTAAATTCAATATATTATTAGTATCTAAACTTACTAAGCAATTATGTTGCTCAGTAGGTTTTTACCCTGATTTCTGCATATTATCAGGGGCTCTACAATGGCAAGGTGTGGGGATTGGTAGAGAAAATAATAGATTGTACCTGATAAAAGAGAACCTACCAGTAACAACAACAAGCTTCTTAAAGGGTTATGGAGATACAAAACTGTGGCATTTGAGGCTAGGCCATGCATCAGCTAAATCTATGGAACACATTTCAGCATTGAATAATAAGATACATACTGGAGTGCAGGACAATTGTGAAGTATTTCCTTTGGCAAAGTAGTATAGATTACAATTTTCTACTAGTAGTACTAGATCAAGTGGTTGTTTCCAACTTGTTCACATGGATGTTTGGGGACCCTATAAGGTACCTACATATGACAAAAAATTTTATTTGTTACAATTGTAGATGACTATAGCAGATTTACTTGGGTTTGCTTAATACAATCTAAGTGTGAAGTAGTTGTTGTAATAAAGAACTTCCTAGCAATGATAAAGACTTAATTTGAAATCATTGTGAAGGTTGTTAGATCGGATAATGGTACTGAATTCTTCAATTCTCAATGCAACATTTTATTTTCTTCTCTTGGAATAATACATCAGAGTAGTTGTCCATATACCCCACAAAAAATGGGGTGGTTGGACGAAAGCACAGACATATCTTGGAGGTAGAAAGAGCCCTAAAGTTTCAAAGTACAGTTCCTAGAAGATTCTGGGGTGATTGTGTAAGGACTGCAGTATATTTGATAAACAAGTTGCGCACTAGTGTGTTACAAGGTAAATCACCTTATGAGTTATTATATGGAAAACTAGTTAAGGTGGATCACTTAAGGGTATTATATTATTTGTGCTATGCAAGTAACCTACCTAAGGGTGATAAGTTCACAGTTAGGGCAAGAAAGGTTGTTCTTATTGGATATTCAGAGACTCAAAAGGGTTACAGGCTATATGATCTTGAAAATATGAGCATATTTGTTAGCAGGGATGTGATGTTCAAGGAGGAGATATTTCCTTTTAGAAATAATACATGCCCAGATGATGCAGAGGATCTTTTTACCTCTCCAAATTCATTGGAGGCAGCAGAGATGCAACAATCACATCCAACTGTACTTCCATTTACATATCAGAATATGCAGCCACAGATTGAAGACACTACTAATACTACAGTAGGGGAAACCACAAATGATGCAAGAGGTTTAGACAATGTCATACTAGATGGAGAACATGAGAATGTAGCTCAGGTGAATGACAATTCTATTGATGGCCAAGCAGTTGAGCCAACAGAAGCCCAACAACATTCTTCAGAACCAACAGAATCTGAACAAGAAGTTAAGCCAACAGAAGCTCAGGAGCACTCCTTGGAACTAACAGAGAATGGAAATGTACATCCTCAACAAACATCTACACATATGGGAACTCGGAAGTCTGGTCGACAAGGAAAGCCTTCCATTTGGCTTAAGGATTACGTCACTAATTTTAAGACACACACTAACAATCCCTACGCTATTTCTAATGTCATTTACTATGATAACTATCTCCTGTATATCAGTCCTACCTTAGTATTTTTTCAGTCTTAACTGAGCCACAGTCTTTCAAAGAAGCTGTACATGATCCAAGGCGGATAGAAGCGATGAACCAAGAGATTAAAGCACTTGAAGATAATCACACCTATGAAGTGGTGGACCTGCCAGAGGGTGAAAAGCCAATTGGTTCTAAGTGAGTGTTTAAAATCAAATACAAGTCCATTGGTGAGGTTGAGAGGTTCAAGGCACGTCTGGTTACAAAAGGATACACTCAATAAGAAGTGTTGAACTATCATGAGACATTTTCCCTAGTTACAAACATGGTAACTGTGAGAACTGTCCTTAGCATAGCATCCTCAAATGGGTGGATTCTACATCAAATGGATGTCAACAATGCATTCCTACAGGGTAATTTATATGAGGAAGTCTACTTGCTCTTGCCATAAGGTTTCCAAAGCCAGGGGAGAATAAAGTCTGCAGACTAGTGAAATCACTCTATGACTTGAAACAGGCTTCGAGATAATGGAACATTAAGCTCACAGATACCTTAGTATGAGCAAGATACCAACAGAGTGCATATGATCACTCTTTATTTACTAAGCAGTCAGGACAATACATTGTTATCATCTTGGTGTATGTTGATGATCTTTTAATCACAAGCAGTAATATGCCCTTAATAGAAGAGGCCGTAAGTACTTTGCATACCAAATTCAAAGTCAAAGATTTGGGGGAGCTTAGATATTTCTTAGGTATAGAAGTAATGAGGTCAGATTAGGGCCTACTGCTAAACCAAAAGAAATATGCTTTGGATATGATTTCTACTACATGATTAGCTGCAACTAAACCTGCTTCTACTCCTATTGAGACAAATCAGAAGTTGACTACCACAGAGTATGACCAACATGTGGGACACAGTGGAGATGAAGAATTGCAGGATATAGCAAGTTACCAGAGGTTAGTAGGTAAATTACTCTATTTGACCATCGCACGTCCTGACATTTGTTTTGTTGTGCAAGTGCTGAGTCAGTTCATACAACATCCAAAGCAATCTCATATGGATGTTGCACTTAGAGTGGTCAGGTACATCAAAGGCTCACCTGGACTTGGTATATTCCTAAAGAAAGGTTCTATCTCACATTTCACTGCCTACTGTGATTTTGATTGGGTAGCATGCCCAAATACACGAAGATCTATTACTGGATATGTTATAAAACTGGGGGAGTCATTGTTATCATGGAAGTCCAAGAAGCAACAGACAATAAGTTGTAACTCACCTGAAGTTGAGTATATGAGTCTTGCAGCAGTAGCAACTGAAATCACTTGGCTAGTTGGAGTGTTAAAGGAATTGAATGTATATTTACAACAACCAGTTGATCTCTACTGTGACAGCAAAGTTGCTCTCCAAATTGCAGCAAATCCTATATTTCATGGATGAACTAAGCATATAGAAATTGATTATCATTTTGTCCAGGAGAAGATAAAAAATGGAGTGCTCATGCATCATCATATCTCAACAAAGCTTCAATTGGCAGACATTATGACAAAAGGACTTGGTGTTGCGCAACACTGTCTTCTTCTTTCTAAGTTAGGATTTTTCAATGTATTTTAATCTCCAGCTTGAGGGGGAGTCTCGGGATATGAGGGACCAAATTGTACACAATAAAAGTAGAGGGGAGTTGTTTAGAGTTGGTTAATATTAGTTAGTTCAAGTTGCTGTTATGACAACTGTAAATTGGCTGTTAATTAGTTAGTGGAGTTAGGGGTATTAGCACTATATAGTGCAGCTGTCTTGTATTGATCGAAGACACAGAGAAGAATACATTTCTCATTTCTTTTCTTCCTCATTTTATTTCCTCTGTTTCTCTAGAGCTTGAATCCAACAATATATATGCAAGACAAGTTGCTTAATTATGTTTTCATTTAATTCTAATTAGGCGTAATGGCTTCTTGGCCACTTAAACTTGTATCGATTTGTAAAGTCGATACATAAACTTATATTTTTTTCATTTGAACACTTCAACTTGACGGAATAAATACTGATAAACACATTTGACCATTGACTAAGCCTACGTGAAAGTGGCAACTTTCAACATTAGATTTACCACATTCTAACTTAAAAAGATAGAGAAATCATGGCGAGAGGAGAAGGAGAAGACTTAGTGATTTGCCCGACGCAATTCTAATTTCATCCTCTCTATGTTGCCGGAGCGTGACAATAAAGTAATTGTGAGAAGCAACGTATTATCTAAATGATAGAGGTTTCTTTGGAAGTCCATCCCAATATCACTCGATTTCAGCCAATTCTATACTTACAGCGACAAGAGAATTCGTGATTTCGTGGGTTCCGTCAATAGAAAGCTTCATTATTGGAGATCTTTCTAGAAAATTTGAAAATTCAAGGTTTATCTCTATAAGTACAAAAAAAATTATGTTGAAGATTATGATTTATGGGTGCATTTTGCAACTAAAGGTTCTAATGTTGAAAGTTTTTCGCTTGGATTTTGAAATTATAGGTTAAAAATTATATTCTTTTTGATATTTTATTGATTTTTTACTTATATCTCTCTGCCCTATCTCCTGCTCCTCCTCCGCCGATCACCTTGCAGAAACCCTAACATCTCAACCGCTGTCCTCCTCCGTTGAACTCACAAACCCTACCCCTCGAACCCGAGCCCACTCCATTAGAAAAACAGTTCGAATCATGGATCAACAATCTCAGACCCGGGTTCACACCAGCTTACATAAATGAAGCCTTGAGAGTTCAATCCGACCCGGACCTCGCCCTTGATATCTTCTCGTATTGACCTAGGCAGTTGTTGGAAGTTTGAGACAAGCTGATGCTTCCGAAATTCACGAAAACCACATAAGATTATCTAGAAATTTCAATTTCCATTTCTTTTTCCAGTAATCAACGCATAACAATTTGGACTATTTTTAGATTTGTACTTGCCATCCTTGTGCAGGATCCATTTAGTGAATGGGGATGAGAAAGGGAAAAAGAAGGGGGAAGGGGAGGGAAAGTAGGATAGAAAATGAAAAAAATTTACGGGACGGGAGAGTTCTCTTGGGAAGATAAGAGAGATGAGAGGGGAGGGGAAAGAGAAAGGACTTTTTTTCTTTTTTATATTTTATTCTATTTCTAGTATTTTTTAATAAAAATAAAACTATTCACGCACCTTGGCAGCCTGATTTGCACACAATTTAGCCATGTCAGTTGTGCCCTTCCACATAGACTTGGTCAATGGTCAAATGTGTTTATTAGTATTCATTCCGTCAAGTTAAAGTGTTCAAATAAAAAAAATATAAGTTTATGCATCTGCTTTATAAACCGATACAAGTTTAAGCGGCCAGAAAACCATTACGCCATTCTAATTATGTAGAGGAGACAAAGTTCACATGAAAACAGGAATAATTGGGAGGATTTCATGTAGAATAGAGCATATATGGGAGGCGAGTCACTTCCAAATCTTTGTACATTTTTAGAAGTTGTCGCTTTCCAGTTTTCCATGTCTTTTTCGGCATTCTCTTTATATGTATAGTAAAATCTTCAAATCATTTCTTGTATGTATTCTCTATAAATTACATTACTGTATGGCATCCCTAATTCAATATGAAACGTACAAATGTAATGTCGTGATAACAACTTACCTAACAGACTGTATTCGTTGACTTCTATTACTTCCACCTTTTCACATATATTCCAATATTGTTTATCTCTTTCGTTTATTTGATGCTCAATGACACGTACAAGCATATTAATTAGGGCGACTGAGCATATATTAGTTTACTATATATCTATGGCGCTCTATTTTGAGTCAGTTTTAATCTAATAGAATTAATATACAACAACAACTATGCCTTAGTACCAAAATGTGAAGATTCATTGTGAAATTGACTAGTTTTATATTGCTGTTAGGCTATTGCAGCCTTCTTCCTTTATCTAGCCCTCGGACAAACACTATGAGCAAGCCACACAAAGCGGAGTTTAATTTCTCTCTATATTTTCGACTAGCATATATAAATCAGTAACAAACATAAATAAGATCTTAATAAACATACTAACATGATTAAAATACTTAGTTCTCACTAATTGGCACCACTTCTATACATCTTCTTTTTTCATTGTACCCTACTTTCGCCTATATGTAGGGGTGTTCATAAAAATTCGAAAATCCGAACCAAACCGAAAACCAAACTAAACCGACCAAAAAAATCGATACTTTTTGGTTTGGTTTGGTTTTGGTTTTAAAATTTAAAAACCGATCAAATTTGGTTTGGTTTTGGTTCTAATTAAAAAAAAAGTCGAATCAAACTGAATATATGAGTAGCTATTTTAAATTTATTATTACACCTATATATATGTATACTTTTATACAATGTTTTAAAATTTTTATAGTAAATATTAATCGTTTGCACTTTTAATACAGTTCTTTACCTTTACATTCTAGTTTAATTGGTAGTTTTCTTTTGTTAGGTGTAAGAATCTATTTCATGTTAAAAATAATATATTTTTAATTGAGTCCTTAAATTATTCATCACTATTTGATTCAATTATCATCAATATATNTAAATTATTCATCACTATTTGATTCAATTATCATTAATATATCTTGGTAAATAATAGATTTCTCAAAAGACAATTGATTTGATAGTGTTACGTTGAAAGTGTGATCGTTGAAATGTGTGTTTGATAGTGTATGTCTTATCTTTAAGGAAAAACCGAAAAATAACTGATGTTGGGAGGGTGGGTAAATATGTAGGTTACATATGTTACTTTTTTAATACTAATAATAGCCCATGTGTCAAAATAGTTATTTCTATGGCTTTTCCAATATATTGTGGGGGCAAGTACACAAATAGCCATTTTTAAGGATGTTATTTAAAGATTTGTCAGTATTTATTTTATCCTAAAATTTTAAATTAAAAATCTTAAGTTCAGGATATTTTCTTTTTTGAAAAACTAAAATTGAGAACGCAATATCTGGTGTCATTTCTACTGTGACTGTTTGACCTACACGGATTTAACATTCCCTTATATAATATCTTAACCTCTTTAATTTGTCAGAAGAAAATATTAGAATATTGTCTAGTCTTCAAATGATAAAGGCACTTAGATCTGTCTATTTCCCAAATAGTTTCTTCTAATTTTGTTGCATTCAAACATGCGACAAAACGCACACTGCAGACTTCCAATTAACCATTAATTCATTATTTAAATTTTGTTTTTGTGGTCTTCTTTCTTCTACCAACTCGTCGATATTATGGCAATAGTCTCAGGTTAAACTCGATCATAAAACAAGTCCCGGTGATATTCACTATGAACTAGTCAATGACACTACTTCAAGAGAAAAGAGTTTTTGTTTCTTCTGCAAATAATTCTTTTTGTCCTTATTTATGTCGACATAACTATTTAGGGAGTTGAATTTTTAATATATATTTAAATGAATGTGGATAAGTAAAGATTAATTAGCTAGGTTAAGTTTTTTGAAGAAATTGAACACTGTTTAGAATAAAAGTAGCTCTTGACATATGACTTATTTTATATACTCCCTCTATTTCAAAAAGATTGGCATAGTTCGGAGTATAAAGATCAAGTACTTAACTTTGACTGTGAACTCGGACATAGATTTTTCAGGTTTTTAAAATTAAATTTACATATTTAAAAACTACATAAAAAATATTATAAATCATAATAATTCATAATTTAAAATATTTAAGAGAAACGTGGTTAAAGAATAACCTCGTAGATTTCTCAAATTAGTAACGGTGCCAATCTTTTTAAAATGGAGGGTGTACTGGAATTAAAGTATTGATGTATAGGGTAAAAGAAACTTGAACATAATCTTAGGACAGGACAATTTGGATTGATAGCGGAAGTTTCTAACGTTTTGGTGAAAAATCAGGGATATCTTTACTCCGTTGAATTAAGTTCATACGTCCTCAATCAATGATATCTGGTAATTACACAGCAACAATTTATTTAGCTATATGCACTAGAAATTAAAGTGATAATAATATGGTTAATAGTGATAAATATGTATATATAAAAGACAAATATCTTGTAAACATTGAGTATAAATGATTTTATTTTATTTTTCCTTTTGAAAGTGTCGTTTGAGCCGATGGTCTATCAGAATCAACCAGGGGCAACACTACGTATGGCCAAGGATGGTCAACTGAACACCCTTCGCCAAAAAATTATACTCTTATGGTAGGATAAAATATTACTTATTATTTATTAAAAAATAGACTTTGAACACCCCTGCATGGTCCATTTGAATACCCTTATTGAATTTTCTGGCTTCGCCACTAGAAACAACCTCTCTACCTTCCCATGGTAGAGATAAGGTTTGCGTACGCACTACTCTCCCCAGATCACACTAGTGAATTCAGTACTGTTTTTAACTAGTCTGTCTATATATTATTGCCTTTTAC